ACCCCGCCTGCTGAAGGACTGGGAGGAGTATCTGATATCCAGCTGCATTTTCTTAAGTCAGCCCGAGATACATTTCTAAAAGTTGTGCCCATCTAGTTAACACAATTAGGTTGTAAGATGCAGCTAGCCTAGAAAGTGCTGGATTAATTTTTCAAATACAGTGAAATGCTATGAAAACATCAATTGTAAGACGGAGTGGTATCTTCAGGCCAGGCCAAACAAATACTATCCTCCAACTGAATTCCAAGCAAGGAAATTCTTCTGTAACCACCCAATTTAGAATCACTGGTCTGATTTATACATCCCTGTTTCCTTGTGGTATAAGCTGAATCTAACTGCTTTCCCAGATGTTCACTTATAGGCAGGTGTCATCACCTTCTTATTGAAACACCAAAAAGAATATACCAGAGGACACAGGTTGAAAATGTAAGGGCTCAGCTTTGGGACATCAAACACACTATGAATTCAAACTGAGTTTCATGACCAAGCTGAAAACTACAAAGAACATAAAAGAAAGAAACATTTCAGCTGGTTATACACCAAAGTCAGAGATCTGTGTTAAAAGAAAGAGAAAACAGAAATTCCTACAGAATGAAAACTAGCATTCCTTCCTGAAATCTAATGCAACTGTTTGCATTAGAAAAAAATCAGTGATGATGATCTACTCAGAATGAACAAGGTAAAGGAGATGAAAATGAGATAATCTATATTAACACCATTGTCTGTTACCTATCTTAGAACTGCTATTAATTTCAGTTTTTGAAAGCCTACGGATCCATGAGTTGGCATTGGCTAACACATCTAGAAGTATGGGTTGGACTCTGTTATGAACCACAACCCAAATATACTAAGCTACTCATCAGGTTCCTTTCTGCATTAAATTAAACCTATTATTTCCAATTTATAGAATAGGCTTTGAGCAAAATGATTCTGAAAGCCATAAATTTTATCTTCTAGCACAAAGATATTGAGTCAAACATGGCATACTTCTATTCTAGACTTCATTATGATGGATAATTGTTAATTAGCAGACTGAATACTAGAGGCTCTTTAAGCAATCATTGCCAAATTACAGATAATACGTGCAAGCAAAGGTTAGTCCCAATCAATAGTACATATAATTGGTGCTTCACAAGGTCTTATTTTCCCTTATGGAGGAAAGTGTGTAAAATCAGATGGGAGAAAAGTTGCAAGCAGAAAATATGAACAAAGACTGGAAAATCTTTAAGAAGATTTTTTGTTTTTTCCTTTTAAATGGGCTAGAATCCATAATTCTAGCATCAAGGCAGGTAATTTTGGCCAAAACCCCATTCTGGATCAATGGCAAACTGAGAGCAACTATCTATAATACTTAGAAAAAGTAGAAATAGCAATTGCTATGGATTTTATACATGACAGCAAACTGCTTGGAGAAACTAAGGACATCACAGAACAGTCCTTGGCTTGCAGGCAAGAAGAACCAAGAGGAGTCTTTTAAGCATAAGGCATTAATGAAATGTTAGCAGCGGTTTAATCTTATTACTAGGTGGAGACAGTAAATAAAGATGTTAATGATAGCTAAGAATGATGCAGAAGGCAAAAGTGTTCATCCAATACTTCTGTTTTGCATTTGATATAGAGGGATGCAGACCTATGCTCCCCAAGTCCTCTGTGACAGAAATGGACCAGGGTCTTGTTCTGGGCAGCTGTCTGGGCCATGGTCCTTTCATGAGGCCTCCTAGATTCTGAAGAAGAGGAGAAATACCTAAAGAGGTTTAGGAGTATGTTGTTAATTGAGGTAATTCACATTACTAGATGGCTGTGGATGTTTTTTTCCCTTGGAAGAGTGTATTTTTTAATGACTAGACTAATCAGGCTTGGCTGGATGAGTAGTGAACATACAGGAACTATCTTGCCTGAAGTTTCAGAGGATGAACTCCATATACAGCTACTTAACCAAGAAATGTGACACAGCTTCTAAATAGGATGATTTTACTCTGACCTCTCTGTTCTGTTCTACTGTTGGCCTTCCAGTCAATGACTGGAAATGGATGGCATCTACTAAAGAAGTTGCTTCAGACACTTACTTGACAGGGCACCATTTGTTAATGCTCTTTTTTGGCTTTTGCCCTGGGGAAAATAAAGATTGCTTGATTACACTCACGCAAGACAATAGATCTGGTTCCCAGATTCATGTCTGTGATATTATCTGCTTGAGTACTTGCCGATTCAGGCTCCTTTCTGCCTGGGATATTGACTGCCTGCTCTGCCAATTGGCCTTTCTGTTTCAGGTTGATGTGAAAGGTCTTTATCGACAGAAAACAAATCAGTGCCTGATGCAGGAACTCCACTGCTGTTTCACTGGGACTGGAGCTGTTGCCTCCTGCCTGTGCTTGCCAAGGATTGAGCTGTTGGATTTCCTGACATTACCGACACAAGGTGATAACTTGGGTCTTTCTGGAACTGAAATGCTATTTGCATTGTGACCTTCCACTCCCAAAATTTTACGCCTTATCTTGCCCATATTTCTGTTCCTGACATATCTTTCAAATTCACTCCTCTGTGGTCTTTATCCTTCGAAGTAATGTGATAGGGATTTCTTGAATGCTTATCTTTCGGTTGACTGCTACCAAGGGTATGTAGTTCCTGTGTATTACACATAGTTGTGACCTCTTGGCTTCACCAGCCAGCACAGGAGAAAGTGAGCAGAAGACAGAACAGACCTCCAAAGCTGAAGCCAATATTCACACATACATGTGTTTTTTTTTTTAAGCAGCTCATTTTTCAAATTCTTCTCTTAGCCATACCCGTGCAAATTCATTGACCTCAGTTAACTTCAGCAAGGCTGTGCTGATGCACCTGTACCTAATAAACACTGTTGGGCTCTGGGTATGTAGCAGCATGTGCTGTATTGCTTGCACGTATAACCTGATCCATAAGCAAATCTCTCTGCAAAATTCTATGGTGTATGCTTAGTAACCATACTAACATCTTGGCTGATATCACAAATTCATTTTGCACAGAATTATTGTTACTAGAAGCTTCACCTATTTTTCCTCATGCTATAATATCTATATTATCACTTTTTTTTTTTTCCCCACTGGGTGGACAACCACTGGGAATCAG